ATTTATTGTTATTTAATTTTGATTTTATATAATTTATTATATAATATTAAATTTTGTAAAATCTTGATTTTATGGATTCGATTTTACGATTTCGATTTTACCTAACCAAAACGATGTTAGGTAAAATCTTGATTTTGACAACATTGCCCGTAAGCAAGAGATTTCTAGTGGATTGAACTCTCGAGCAAGGAGGCTTGAGGAGTGGACGTACTCTGGGTTGGAGGAACCACTAAATTACGGCTTGATATTCTCTTCCTTTTCTTTTTATTTTTCTGCACTTTATTTGTAAAATTGCAGTTGATCTCTATTTTATTTTGCACAACAGATTATGCATATATATTGAAAACTTAATTCACATTTTTATAAAGGAAAAAAAAATGAGTTTTATATCTTAGAAATTGAGGGATAGCTAGCTGGGATTACACACCTATTTCACATAGAAGTCAAGAACTCTTATTTTTACTATAAAAACCCAAGTAAATCTTTCGATAAAATAATGGAATTGTTTATTAAAAAAAATTTTAAATGAATAATGATACATGGGACGAAATAGGAAGACGAAATCATCAGCCGAATTTGAGTTGGCGTGTCATCTCAACAACATATTAAAAATTGGGTCCCAGGTCCTTATTCTTAGCATCTTTCGTTTGCAGAAATAACATGCCAATTCATATTCGGCTGATGATTTCGTCTTCCTATTTCATCCCGTGTATCATTATTCTTTTCAAATTTGTTAAAAGAAAAATTTTGTGCATTTTTTTTCATTTTATCTTGATTACATAATAAGAGGCAACTATATCACGTCTTTTATCTCATCTCACTTCATTTACATACCATACTACTTGAATTCAAAACTTTTTATTTTTAACAAAAAGAGATGACTATTAAATTATTTAAATCGTTATTTTGTGTAATTGATAATGCACCCAATATGATAATGTGTTTGCTCAAAATAAATTGAAAGATTAATTTTTAATCTACTAAGTTGGTTCAAGTGGTAATTGATGCAAATCATATTTAAAAATACAAACATGAGTCTTTAATTCTTTATATTGTAATTTAAGTACATACAATTTTGTTAGATCTTATTCCATAAAAAATATATGATCAAACTTCAAACCTGTGGACAAGTCTCCAAACCTGTGGATAATTGTAGTTATCTTTTTTTGTGAGACTTGTCCAGAGGTTTGATTAAGGGTGTTAATCAAACAAAAAGGGCCTTTTCTTTGGGGAAAAAAAAAAACAAAAAAACTGAAAATCCCTCACCGCTGATTCCTCGTGCGAATGACGAGGTTCCACCGACCGAACTTCCATACTAGTCGGAAAAGAAACGA